ACATAACATGAAGCCGCGGGCCGGATTAGTCTATGTGTAATAAAAAAGGAAAGCACACTTAAAAGAGTTCATCCAAATGCAACGTCAGTCTTAGGGCTCCACAATTAATTGATAAGAAAAGGCAATATGGAATCGTGTAATATCAAAATAGCATAAAAGTGTAATATTTGGTAAAATATCTGAAAATATCTGAGTCCAAGTCCAAGAGGTGCAGATTCAAACTAATTCTACTGAGTTAATGAAAACAAATGAGAGCAGTGGCCTTACTGCTTTTCCTCATATGGTGCGCTTTCTGGGAAGATGATTTTAATATCTTGATACCCTGGACACAATTTTTTAGAACTATATGCAAAACAACAATTGATTATTATTCAAGAATCTTCCAATCTAAGATTTTTTACAAGATTACCACAACAAAAAAACAACTCAACATCTTGAATATTGAACCATCACCATTATGTAGATTCTGTGATGAGGAAGAGGAAGACCAGATGCATTTATTTTGTTATTGTCCATATGCTGCAAGTCTGTGGTATGAGATTCAAAATTGGCTTAAAGGTCACCTATCATGCTATTTTTAGGCAATAGCATAGGTTTCAGATGTATAGAAATATATAAAAAACATGTCTATGAAGTGTTTTGATCCAAATACCAAACAGATCACCCATTCTAGCCATGCCTCATATCCCTCTATTTCACTTCCTGTTTCAAAAGTGCTGATTTGGGGTATAAAAGCTTTCAAATATAAAAAGAGGGGTCTGAGCTCATGCGGGACCCGGCAGCTACTGTCTAAACTAAATACTGCCGTGATGAAACGCCATATCATGGATTATCAAGGATTATTTCTGAAACGGTATGGAGCTCAAAGGCTTTCTCTCTTGCCGGTTATACCGCAAGGTGAGTTCCTTTTTTATTTCCTGCTTCTTCACACACATGCTCTCCAGTACAGGTTAGCTCTGAGTGTTAGCGATGCTAATGTAAACACCGACCATATTACGTCCAAAACAGTCGGGCATTGTTTCTGATTACAACGTTTCTGATAGGGCCGTGGGTCCACATTTCAGATATTATGTCATATCGGACGCAAATCTGGATCAGCTCTGTTGTTCCCCCGTTTTTAGAGATTTGGGTACGGAGGAAAAGAGAGAGGGTTTTATTTTCTGACACTGCGTGAGTTCCCTGACACACCAGGGACACATATTGATGTATAAAAGACATCAAAAAGTTCATTTTGCATGATAGGTCCCCTTTAAGGGAGTACTTACCCCAACGTTTTAATTTAAAAATGTTTCGTATCATCTTCCAGCTGCTGAGTACAGTGGATGCCAGCACCAGCGACGTTTCGGGTCTGCATGAAAAGCTGGACAGGAAGAAAAAGGTCAAATATTTTTCCTTCAATGTGTAGAGTCTATCTGATCAATGACTGAAAAGTTCGCTACTTTCAATCAGGAACTAACGCACGTGCTTTGTTCTGCAGGTGGAGCAGCACAACGGTGAGATCCAGCAGAGCTTCTCTCAGCGCATGGAGGGGACGTTCAGCAGCATGCAGCGCTGCGTTCAGGAGCACGGAGACAAACAGCAGCACATGCTGAGCGGCTACTCTCAGGCCATCGGTGAGAGCACAGAGCAGCAGGGGGTCCAACAGAGAGACGGTCGTTGTGTGGAGTTATTCCCACATTTAAAATGACATTTCAAGCCAAAAGTCTTCTTAGGAGCAGGTGATCAAAATGTTTGAATGCAATCTGTATATTCAGAGTCCTACATGTATGTCTGCTTGTCAAGGACACTGTTGGTACATTTTATTTATCTTTTTAATTAAGTACAAATATATGTGTACCCAGAGGAGAAACAGGGACACAGTCGAGGAAATCGACACATAGAAAAGACATTTGGTACATTGATAGGAACCAGTTAGTGTTCAACAGTTCAAAGCTACTAGTGTTCAGCTTAGTCTCTACTATTGTACAGAGTTCCCGTTAGAATATTTTTTTGCCGGTCAACATGTGCATTAAAGTTTAAATCTTCCGGACAAAATTAGAAAAGTGCCAGTCAAAGGTCTTCTTTGTTATATATTGAGCTTTAAAACAAATTGATGATTCGATATTAAACAAGCTAATTAGATTAACTATTCAAAAGTGAACAGTAATTTATAATAACAAGGGAATAATAAACGGAGCGCTCGCCTTCTCCTGACAGCCCACCAGTATCATGCAGCTCGCGGATCCAGAGTGACCCGACAGTAGGGCTGTACTCGAATATTCGTTCGTTGAAGTACTACTCGGGTTTCAATTTCGTTATTCGGGTATTCGTTTTGTTTGTTTTTTTATTTTTTCTCCGTTTTTTTCTTCCAAATTGAAATCTCCAATATCAACGTAAGAGCTTGTTCGGGGGGTGCTAACACTTAACCATAAACGTTATCGTTTAATTTCTCCGTCTTTATATGTAGATATTACTTTTCTCCGTTAATCTCCGTCAAGTTGTTTCCATAGCAACAACAACTTCCTGTCAACAGCGCTACCTCTCCTTCAAAATAAAAGCATATCCATAAATAGGAAGCCAAGCCAAATTACACTTAAGACATACGTATACAACTTCAACGAAAGTAACAAACACAATGCGATATCCTTTTCAATTTCAAAGAACACAAATTGGGTTAATCTCTATAAAACAACAATACTGTAGAATAACTAAATGAATGCCGTGAATACACGTGTTGAAGCGGTTCGCTACGCGCGGGCCGAATATTCGCTGCTGATTACTACCGAATATCCGGAGCCCGAATATTCGCTGCCTGATTACTACCGGATATTCGGAGCCCGGAAAATTATGCCAGTATCATGCAGCTCGCGGATCCAGTAATGAGTGACCCGACAGTAAAACTAAACATATCTATAACTAGTTACGGTAGTTTGAGAGGTAATTAAAATAGCTACGTGTGATATTCTAACCTGAAGTGTGTGTTTTGTTCCGCTCACCGCTGCACGTGATCATGCAGAGCTGCGTGTCGACTCGTCAGCAGCAGCTGATCTCTCTCCCGTCAGATTAGACTTTACTCGCGTTTAGGTCCATATCGATCAGATCTAGCTAATGATAGGACTACCTGCTTATTAAAAGACACCTAAACAATAAGCGTCGCTATGCAACTGGGTGAGGCCGCAAAGTATAGCGCAGCATTATGCATTTGTTTACATGCCCACCGGAACCCCGAGGCATTACCAACAGATCAACGCACAATCAACCCATACAGGACATCTCTTTCTCCACATTAAGTGATAGACATTAGAATATACTCTTCTTGTCTGTCACATAAGTGGCGCAACTGATGCGGTATTGTGCTAAGGGGAAATTATTTTTGACCGGAGAGATTTAGATTTGCCGGTCTTCAGCATATTTTACCGGTCATAGTCCGGTAATTACCGGCTAACGGGAACTCTGCTATTGTACATAAATTGACAATCCATACATAGTTGACCTTCACTTGAAGGCGTACAATACTTAAACCACAATTATAACCAAAACAGACTAACAAGAGAAAAGAAAAATCAATAAAGTTGAGGAAATCTAACAAAATACTAAAACTGACCAATAATACTGGTTTTAATTATATTGACATGTTTCTGTCTTTCTGTCCAGACGGCGTGGTGGTGATGAACGAGGCAGCGCTAAAAGGCGCTCTGACCACCGTGGAGTCGTTCGTGGGGGGGGTCGGGCAGCTGGTGTCTGAGGGCGTGAGTCGCTGTCAGGACAAAGTGAAGCAGCAGGAGGCGCTGTGTCTGCAGGACAAGGAGATCCTGCTGCAGCTGCTGGTGAGTTCAGGGCCCTCTCCGCTGTTTGATACACAGGAGGGGTTTTAAGGATTATGCATGTGGTGTGAAGCTGCAGTTTAATTAAGGGATTATACATTTCTGCAGGAATAAGTTTTAAAAATTGAGAATAAGGCAGCTTTTGTAGCACTCCCGGCTTCCTTGTCTCAAACAAGGGAGAGCTTAAAGATAAGGTCTGATTCTTTAGAGATTCGTCTGGGATAAAGTTCTGTTTTTAGAAAAGGGGTTGCTTATGAGTAGCTGAATGAGTCTGCCTCTACAACCGTTTGTAATGGCTTTTTGTTGAGGGAAACGGAGAGCAAACACTCGGGTTGGCCTACATAAGTGGATCAAAGATTTTTAATGCTATTTTATTTCTATTTCTGAAATACATTTGACTGTTTATTTCTGTGTATTAGTTTCTCTTATGTACATTGCCTTGTGTTTTTGATACTGCTGCAACCCAAACATTTCCCATCCATCTATAAATATTAAGTGAATTCAGATAAGGTAAATGTTCCTCAGACTTTTACTCTTATCGGTGTGGGTAATCATTTCGAGCTGGCAGCTGGATCCAAGACAAACCTATCAACGTGTTTCTCTACTTCTCTGTGTGCAGGAGGAGCACCGGCAGGACATGGAGGAGGTGCTGGTGACTCGCACTCTGATGGGTGTGTCGGCTGTGAAGGAGCTCAGCGACACTCTGAGGGTTACCGTGGAGACGCAGCGAGATCTGGCCGACAAGGTGAGTCCAAATTTGTGTAAAATTTGGATGAAATGTGGTTCTGTCAAGATTCCTCAACTCCTCCTCCACATCCAAACACACCGCTCCACGAAAAGCTCTGATGAATGAATGTTGTTCTTTTACTTCTCCTCTTTGTTATCATCTTACACAAGCTTCCTTTCAATAGATACAAATTAAGTCGTTTTTTTTTTTAAACTTTAAGGGCTGTTCCAAATAGTTTAAAGCACTATTTGTAAAGTTGAAACATTGAAAACGTACTTAGTCCCATTTATCGCTTTTTATAACATTTATTTCTTTGGTGGCGATTTGTTTTTAAATTTGAAAAAAGGCCTTTTTATATTTCTTTCTAAAAAGTAAATGAATTGAAAGATATCAGTTAGAAATCTGGTTTGTTTTGCCTATCGTCCGTCTGATTTAAGCTCTTTGTAAACATCTTGCATGCAGGTTTATTGCAAGTATGTTTGAGAAATGAAGATGTAAAATAAAAATATTACACAAAATGTAGCATAGAAATCAAAAAGTAGAAAACTGGCAAGTTAAATGAAATATGGCCAACTGCTTAATCAAATATAAATACAATAGAGCGGTGCAGTGATGTATTTGTAGGCCGACTCGGGAGTAAGCTGCTGGTTCCCTCGACAAAAAAGCAACGGGATTTCTCCATAGGATTTTTTAATATTGTAAAAAAAAAAAAAGACTTGTGGGAAAACTAACCTGTTTGATAAATGCACGTTTTGTTCAGCTGGATAATCTCCACATGTCTACCCTACTTTTATAATTTCGAATCATAAATCTAATCACCAGAAGCAAAATGCTAACGTTATGCTATAAAGGAACTACAGCCAGGGGGGTGTCTTGCTGTCATTTGACGCTCTCATTCAGCTCGGAACGCCCTGAACTTGAGCCGAGGACGTCCCAAAAAATGTAATAATTTGAGAGAAAATCGAGAGTTTTTATTGCTTGAAATGACGGAAAAGGACAAGGACATCCCTCTGTGGGAGGGGCAAAGGAGTCTGGTGGGATTATTTTTGCCGCCAGCAAAGCGTGTTCCGGTGACGCAAAAAACAAAAACGCGGCCGCATCTTCCAAGGACCGTGCCAGGAGGGGTGTCCCTGTCGGCAGGGAGACGTTAAGAGATAGTATAAGGGACGGCTCAATTAAAAATTCAAGTCACGTGACACCACGTGACGTCGGAGCAGAAGTACTCGTATGTGCGCTCACAGAGCATGCACAGTTGAGTTGCCCCTTAAGCCCCGCCCCCGAGCTCCCACTCTCAGATGCGCGTTCATAATGCCGAGGAAAATAACTCGGAATAACGTTATTAGCACATTTTGCAACTTGAGGACCGAATGTTTTTAATAAGGGCTATAC